TGGTACTTTCCTTTTGGCTGTTTCATCCTGCATTTTGTAGGTTTTTTACCATCAACATAACTTATGCATTGTGTATTAAAAATCATCATTGGTACCATTATTGTACCTATAGAATCTTACCTTGTACAAAAAGGCTGTCCAATTCCATTCAAGATGCTGTTTTACAAGAACATTGCTAGAATCAAATCTTTTAATATGTCCACCAATGCGGCACCTTAAGCAGAGTGGCAAGTTGAACACCAAACAAGAAAACAGTTTGTTTTTTGTTGTCGTTCTCGAGTTATTGAAGCACATTTGTTTTGACATTCTTCCAGGCAATAATGCATTGCACATGTGAAAAATGTGTTTGACATTGACGTTGGCAACATGTCTGTGATTTGGTATACTGTTTATCAAAAAATCACCTAAGTTCATTTGCTTTAGCTTTCCAGTTTCTTAATCTCACTTGGTACATGTTTACGGGTCGTATTCAAATATGTTGTATGTTGACGACGTAATACCATCAGTATATCTAAACTAATTCTCAATGAGTTTAGTTGTTGGCGTTTACATACATATAATTCTTGCACCCATTTCTGCATTCACGCGCAAACATATTGTCAATCATTGCATCAGCATATTGTTAATATTTTTGGGTTGTCAGCTCCTGAGATGGTTTTAGCTGTTTGGCGTGACCTGTTGCAGAAAATGTATTGCTCAACAAGCTATTTGGTTTTCCAATAAACATGCAAACGGATGAACTAGATTTGATCAAATACTTTTACATCAAAATCAGAATAATCAAATGGTTCTATTTTAACATCACCAACACTCATACCCAAAATATCGTTTATTGTTCTGGCATCACCTTCAAACTCGTGCAATAACCTGTGAGTAGGGCATACAAATAGTACTGTGTAGCCTTCATCAACAATTTTCTGACGGATATGACTTTAGCCTGCTCCTGCAACTAATGTCCAAATCATTGCTGTACCTGTTTCACTGTCTCAATTTTTCTCGCAATATCATCAGTATCAGACTCATCAATTTCAATAAATAATTTAGAGGCTGGTAATTCTACAGTGTGATTTTCTGCAACTTGGTAAAGTTCATTAGGTAATTTACTATCCGCATATTTGCTCACTCTCCAGCCTCCAATCCTATTATAAAATAGAATCCAATTATTTCCCTGGGTTCTTTTCCTCTTCCGCCTTGATGGTGAAAGCACCAATCTTAACATTATGTACTGTAATACCAGCATGCATCAGATTAAAGTAGGCTTTATACATTGAATACATGGTGTTGTAGGCGAAGCTCTTTGATATACCTGCATCGATTTTGTAATTGCGCCTTTTCCTTCAAATCAAAAGACCCCAAATCAAAAGACCGTAATATGCTTCCTGTATCTTCTTGTTCAATTTACAATGTGGTGAATGGCAACGATGGTTTCGCTCACTTCCTTCAGTTTTTCCCGGGTCACTACACTTGCACAAAGAATTAACATACGTCGATTCATGTTTCTTGGTGTATATACCGTGATTATCCGTGATTCATTTTTTGGTTTTGCATTTTTTAGAGATCACGTGTTTTTCTAAATCTTCTGGTTACAGTAAATCTTCTTATCGAGGTTTCACTTCTCCGTGTTTCAATACATATTTTACTACTACTGGATTTGGTTTGGCATCTTATAGAAACGCCTTGCCGCAGCCAGTCGTTCTTTAGAGAAGGTATAAGAGACCATTTTTCATAATGTTTCTATAAAATGCCTGGCAAGTGATTCCAGTGTCTAAGCACGGTGGATATTTTGGTGTATATATCATTTTCTGGTTCTTGCGGTGACCCATCAGACGTTTCTTTTTCACATGGTGCCATCGTTTAACGCACCCTTTATAACTAACCATCATCATCCACTGGGCCCTGGTAATCGGATAGACCGAACATGGTGCACATGTCCAAAAGAAAACGGACCCATCACCCACACCGATGGACTTGAAACGCGACTTTCGGAACCAGGTGGCTTGGAGGAACCCTCCGGATCTGGACTCGATGGCATCCAGCGGACGGGTCGAAGTTTCGCCCGCGCGTGGTGCGAAGTGGCGAGGAAAGGGGTGACTCTCCACAGGCCGATATGGCAGAGAGCTTCATTGATTAGCTTCAGCCCAAACATCTTCATCGTTGCAGTGGATTTATTGTGTTTGTTTGTGCCTCCGCGGCGCTGTGCGCTTTCGTTTTGCGCCTGCAGGAATATTTTGGGCGCTGTGGTCGAGGGAACCCAGCAGTGAAGACGTTTTGCATGGCTTTGGAGTGGTGAACGGCAAAGATGGTCCAAACCCAACAAACAAAGATCTCGTTTCTTCCATGGGGGTGGCCAGAAACTAGACGATCATTTGTGCCACAGTGGATAGGATATGTTCATTCATACATCGGCGCACTCCAACCATGCGACACGGATCTATGACCATCTTTGACCCACTGAGAGATGACCCGCATGTGATTCAACTGGCCCGGTTCTGCCGAGGCCAATGGAGTTCAACGAGTCATCCACAACACCGAGGTGACTTGAGTGGTCGGACGCCCAAACCCGCCGATGGCGACCCACGCCCACCGTGCATGAGCATGGGATGAGGTCAGGTGAAGGGGTGGGGCGAAATTCAATAGGGGTCCCGACCGAACTGTTGATTAAATATGTTTGAAATTGTTTGAACATGTTTTAACTAACGATGTTGTCGAAAAATGGTTCCCTATTGCCAAAGACTTCAGCGCGCCGACTTTGCACTTGCTCGTGCAGCATGAATGCAGCACGAGATGTTCAGGTCATGTGCGGCATGGGATCCAAATTCGTCATATGCTTGGCCCTTTTGAAATCGTGGACAGACATTGGTATACACCTTTCATGAAACCCGTTCACACCTGGATCTTCCAACCATGCCAAATTTCTGCCTTAAAAGGCATACATTTGTCACAGTCAGAAGATCCAGACATATACAATCATAATCAATCACATATATATATAATTCTAATTGTAATATATAGTATATTATATGTTCATATATGTCATCATTATTTTACACTTGATCCTTGGAACTCTTCCATCGTGGATTGCGGCATGGCCCTGAAGTCGGTTCCGACCACCAGAACCGAAGACCATGGCCCCGATGGGGTGCCATCCACTAAGATATGTTATAGTTCCAGGGGGGGCAGGGGTGAGGCAGAGGCCCTGATTGACGGGGTGCACGGGGCCATACCAGGCAGGTGGTTTACTGTACATGGTGGGCCCTTGCATTTTAGCGAGAGTTGTGATAGGTGGGTCTTTTCGCTGATAAGAGCACGGGGGTGACATGCTACCCTTCTTAGAATAATTAAAGTGTGTGCTGAACTGTCGCATGTGACTGCTGTTTGCTTATGTTTTAAACTTTAAACTCCAGGGGAGTGGAGCTTCTGCGAACTCCTCTCCAAAACCACCTGGGGCAATCCCTGACTTGAGCGAGAATGTTGAAGCTGGAGATCTTTTGCAAACCGGCGGTTCTATACTTATAGTACATAGTCAAATATTCTCAATGCATCTAATATTTGTGTGTGTGACTCTCGTTTGCACCATCACCCTTGACCGAATCCTGGGATGACACGCCACACGCTACGCATGATTGGGTACAGCGGCAGGGCCTTTGCGAAGAGGATCGTCATTGGGTCCAGCGCCAGGGCTCCAACATCTCAGCCCTGGCATCAGGCGCACGGCGTTTTTGATTCGCGTTTTGTTCGATGCGCGGCGCTCATGACCGGTGCCTTTGGCAGGCACCAAGAGCTCAGATCGGTTTGATGTTGTTGCAAATTTGGATCATGGCAGTTTGGGTTGTCCCACGCTCTTACACCTGTACTATCACACTCCTTGAGCGGTTGGCTCCATGCGCGACCCCTTCAGAAGATATCTCCTGGTGGCTGATATCTCAAGTGATTTGGCAGGCGATGCAATATTCCCAAGAAATTCACCCAGGTATGTGTGTTGAGATCCAGGGACGTGTCGTCCTCGTTTCTGGGTTTACCCCACTTGAGGCCCACCTCACATGACGAGCGGCCCGACGATCGGCACATTGAGTGACCTGGAGGGTGACTGGGGATGGAGCTACCATCCAGTCTCAGTTGACATAGACGAAGAATTCATGGAGTCATCACTGGGTTCTTGGGTTCCCCCCCAAAAGACGGAAGTTGGCTCCTTCGCTCTATCAAGCCTGGCGTTCAGCGTGACCCTCTCCCCAAAGACACTCGAAAGACTCGAAAGTGGGGAGTGCGCATGGCTACTGCGCACATGAAAGATAGAAATTCCTCCGGAAAGTCATTGTTGTTTTTCATGGCGTGGGCCTGCAGGTGGCATCAACATTTTGCGCCTTTTGGTTGCAACTGAGCAGCGGGGAGACTGGCTGGTCCAAGTGCCTAGGGCCTAGTGGCTCATCCTTTCGGGAGACACCAAGCCACCGGATCACTCGAATCGGTGTCATGTTCGCGCTGATTGGACCAGGTACGGCACAAAAGCCAGGCAACCCATTGATCCAAACGATGGAACATTCATGAACATTCCACTGTATATTGACTTTATAGATTGATATATTTTTGTTGTGCAGGCAGGGCCCCAGGCAGGTCACGTTTGAGCACTCGCAAGTTTTTGAGAAACAACTGCAACTGCTTGCGATGCGATGTGCTCAGGACAATCTGGACCTTTGGTCAACTTCTTAGAACGCCACCTGGGGCAAAACTGGCAGAGCCAGCAATCCGGGCTGGATGTAGGTGCGGCCTTGCATCGTGACTCTATTTTCGTTGCTGGGTCGGTGTGTTTTCGTTGCTTTGCTTCAAACTGAGATGTTCCATGTCTCTTGTAACTGCGGAGGAGTTCTGCAGATTGAGTTCTACAATGTTCTACAGTTTGACAAGTCATTCTCAGTAAAAGAGATCACACAAAGCCTTTGCCGCTCATGGAATTGGATCGAGTCGCTCTCACTAGCAGATCCTTCAACACGACTTTCCTTTGCAGGCGTCATTTCCAAGTGGCTAGATGAACGGCAAATTCCAGCGGCAGCGTGGCGAGCACAGAACAATATGTAGCCTATGATGTATGATCCCCCGTGAAATTACCGGTGAACGTCGGGCATCATTTTCTTAATTGCAAATTGCTAACAAACCTATTCCCGGGGGTTCCTGCACTGTAGAATGAAAATGAATGAACTGCTCAAGCATAATAATCTCTAAATGGTTGTGCTGAAACAGTATCCCTCATAAAACGTTGTTTCCAGATTCCAGAATGTTGGAAGAAACATTCGGAAAAAAGAACAAGGCCAAAGATGATTCTGCATACAAGTGTAGGACAATGTCAAGGTCGTACGATTTTGGAATATGGTTGGAGAGCAAAAGAGGTTGAACGTGATAAAGAATGATGTTATAGATAGAGACATGATTGAATAAATACTGTCTATACAATCACAACAACAATCTTGATAACATCACGGTTAATTTGTATGCATTCTTGTAACAGTGGTTCGGCTCAACCTATTGACATACTCAATTATCATTCTGTCAAGGGACGGACTTCTATTTTAGCTCGTTTTCAGGTAGGTCGAAATCTCATGCCCACCCTCATTTTTGCTCCCACTACATGTAACTGAGGCAAATTGGGCAGTTATGTGTGTGTTTCCTTTTATGGCGACTAAAAGATACTAAAAGTGATTTCGGCTCGACCCATTCTAAGGATTCTAAGGTGAAACTCAATCTTGTGTGTTTCACACTGGTTGTCCTGTTTGTCACAGTCACCCCTATTTACCCAACAGAAAGGAGCTCTCTCAGCGGCACGTTTTAGAATATGTCTTAATCAACAAGTTTTTGCCAGTGTCCCCTCACAACTTGTTTGAGGTTTGTTTCGCGCTGTCCCTTCACCCCAAATGGGATTGCCCTTCTTTGGTTGGACACTTTGAATCCCCCCACGGTGACTCAGGGTGTGGGGCAATCCATGCTTTCACCGGGTTGCGACAGGTTTCTTGGTTGAGATGATGGTCCAACTGTGTTGCAACTTCAACCCTGCTGTCAGACACGTCAGACAGCTGCCCTCTGAGGACAGCGTTTCACCCGGGAGTGGCTGCCCCTTGGGCTTAAAGCCCAACGAATCCTGGACCTGCAGCATTTGCCTGGCCGGGCGGGGGCCTCGAACATCCTCAGCTGACACCGCGGGCACCATTGGGTACGGAGAGTTCAAGTTCGCTTTTGCCTTGGTGAGTGGTTTTGGTGTTGAACTTGTTTGTCAGCTCAATGGAGGTAGTGTACTGGTACTGGTTGTTAAAATGCTCATTGGGATCAAGTCCTAAGATGCTGCATTCAATGCTACGTTTGCTACGTCGCCCCATGTTGACGAAAGCTGGATGGACTCAAGACCGGCTGTGGGACAGCAACTAGCTCTCCCAAAGCATGCCAGCATCACATCCTCTCAGATGGTGGTAGCCATTGGTGATATTTCACCCGAACTGCTTGTATCTTTGTTCCCCTTGTCCACCTTCCTAATATCTTTAGATCAGATCGAGGGGTAAAGCATGACTTCTGCGCTGCGGAACCTATATACATCGAACTCCTTTTCCAGCGTTCAGTGTGGTTTTCTCCGTGCGAGGGCCAAGTTCGCCACGGCATGTGGGGGGGGGTGATGTTGCCAGGTGTGAGGTTGCTCTGGAGCATCAAGGTGGGGCGGTTTCTTGAACGACACGCCGCTTACTCATGAGTTCGGCCTGACTCAGCGTGACGCCCGGCCGGGACGGCTCGAGCACCCGGCGGGACTCGGTGGAGTCCGCATGAGAACAGACCAGAACGGGTTTAGTCGTCGGTGTTCCAGCGATTGGTCTGGAGAGGAGCAACTTGCATGGCCTGGAGAAGGCCACACCAGTCAAACAGTCAAACAACATGTTCCAGGCTCTTCTCAGGTATCCAAGGGGCGGCCCCTGGGCTTGGAATCTCAAACCGAGGTATCCAAGGTCACTACAGGTCGCTACTAGAGTTGGGTAGATGGATGCAAGAAACAATGCAGGTCACCATGAGTTTGGCTCGAGCTGTCAACTCTGGCCAGGTACAGCAGATCAAGAAATTTGCCTACTTTGTGACAGCGATGGTCACAGCTGGCACGTCTTCCACAAGCTTTGTGCCAAAGAATGGCTTTTTGGACGCAACCTAGCTTTCGCACGAGGGCATAGCCCGGAGGTCTTCTGAAGGTTTCCTGTTTAGCCCACTCCCAGACGCTCCATGGAAGAGTGAATTGACCCCATGAAAATGATTGAACATGAGCCCGGTGAAAAGGATTTCAGTACATTTGTGGCAGGATGTGGAAGGACATGGGGATGTGGATGGCAGCGTGGTACCGTGGTAGACCACCTATGTGGAGCCGTTTTTTTTGATTTTACCGGCAGGGTATCTTTGGTGAACATGATGGATCCCACGGTCACATGGTTCCGGTGCACCTGGCGGGAGACCGATTGGACGATTGGACGTGCAGCTTAGGGGGGAAGAGGCAAACATTTCGCGCGCGGCGTTGGGATGGAGCATGGGCGAACTTCGCGCCTGGAAAGCTTGTGATTGAGAGTTTGCTAAATGTTTATGTACACCCAGGGGCAGCTAAAATCGCATCATCAAACGAGTTTACTGGCACTTGTGATCCATGTTCATTCTTCCGGCGTGTACAGTGTATCTCTGTATGGGAAATGGGCTGTGTATGTGTTGAGTAGCTTGAGGCCAGATCCACTCCAAGGTCCAAGACGCTGCGTCGTCGTGGGATGCAGCGTCCCATGGTGTCCCTCGGCGCTCAGGTTGCAACGTTCGGCCACCTGTCCTCTTTGCCGGCGAGACCTGCACATCTCCTGAAAAAGCCGCCAGTTGCGCGCAACGCGGAGGGTGTGGAGGCTGTCTCGGAGCGCTGCCGATCTCATGGCAATGACTTGCTAGGGCACATCCTATAGGGTATGACTGGAATTTTAGACACTCGTGGTCCTCAGGCTTTTGGGTCCATTTGGTAGGTGTCATGTACTGTGATGCTGGGGATCTTGAGTAAAGACTCAGGCCTTTTCAGGCCTTGGGAATCATCCCTCAGGCCTTTCGGGACGGTGGTTGAACGAGCTTTGTTGGGACCCATCTCAGGCCAAAGGATTCACCACTGCGATGCCACCTCCCAGCTGCTCCCAGTCGCCCTCCCAGCTGTCCCAGTCGCGTAGACCCTTCAGAGCAATGCACATGGTCCAAGGAGGCCCACCATTTGAAGAGAGCAGCATGGCCGCATGGCCTGGTTTCACCAGCGCTCTCGCCTCAGACGATAGCCCCAAAACGCGCGATGAGAGCGCTTGGGTCCGCTTTTGTTGGAGTAGATGGCGCAAGCCTAGATAATAGTTATATATTGTTCTATGTATATATATATATATAACGTTATAAAGATCTACTATATATAGATATCTATAGATGTTACTATACCAATATTGACAGGGTTGTTTGCTAGCTACCCACCTCTTCAGACAACTGCGCCATCTACTGTACATCCATCTACTCGAAGCCCGCTTGAGGAGCCTAGCTTGCACCTGTTGCCAGGTGTACTCTGCAGAAAGCTCAAGAGAAAAGACGCTTGCACCAGGTTTGTTCACCCCGCTTGCATTTGGATGGTCCAGCATGTGGGCACGGACTCGGGGACACCTTTTCTGCAAAAAGCTGACCATCCAGGCCAGGTCCTGGCCATCCGATTTGTTGAAGTCTCTCCTTCAATGCTGTTTCATGAGAAGCGCGGAAGAAATCCACAACGCTTTGAGAGGAGCCGAAGCGAGTCTCAAATGGCTCGAGCTTAGATTCAAAGCATTGATAATGCCAAATATTGTGTGAGCCGGCAAGGCAGCAACATCGGCGCTGGGAGGGGGTTTTGTTTGCGTAAGCCGCCGGATTCCGTGCTATGGACAGAGAGGTGGTACATGCTTCAGGGTGGCACTCGTCAAGACCATACAACCTCTTTGCTTTTTTAATATAAAACATGGTTCAACATGCCTTCCAAGTTGAAAGAGGGGGACGAACACTTCTCACATCAATTTGTGTCGCAACGAGACGCTGCACACCGCCGGCTCCCGCCTGGCCGCTGCGGGCGCCCTTGGCTACGCCGCCGACGTCGGCGTCATGGCTAGCTCTTCGCAGGCGAAGAAGGAAGGCACACGGGGCTTAAATGTGCCAGAGGACTCGCTAAAGGAGTACTTAGTAAGATGGGCTTTGGGGATCTCTGTGTTTTGATCTCATTGGCCCTTGAGAATGGGAGCTGAATCTGAAATCCGCAATTGATCAATCCTTCTGGGGCCCGACCTCAGATGAATTTAAAGGCACGTACTAATAAAACAAATATATATATATAATATGTGATATGGATATAGAATAGAGATGAACATTGTACTCCAAGTCGTCAATCATGGATATGGATGTTCGGGGGTGTTGATGGTTCTCCATGGTTTTCCACAAGAGGTAGCTCCAAAGCGTTTGCCTCTTGTTCCACGAGAGGCCCACGAGCATTAGTGAATGATATCACCGTTCGGACGTGCGTGCGAGAAGCAATGGGCCACCTGGCCTGGAAGGCGACGAGAGTGGCGATGAGATGGAAGGGGACAATAGCCTGCTGGAAGATGGTGTCATTAGGTTTCATTTCCTCAAATTTCCTCTACCAACAGCATGCGGGGACTGTTTCTATTTTTCCTTGAGGAGGGCTGTGGCTGCCATGCATGCTCAGCACGGTGAGGGTTCCTGCAAGACGAGGACCATTTTGTGTTTGGGCATGCGGAAGCTCGTGGGGGGGCTTGCAAGGCTTTGAGGCCTACTTTAGACCTTTTCTGAAGACGTCTTACAAGGTAGCCTTCTCGGAGGGTATGTGCCGTTTCGGTTGACAAGCTCGACCGTCCCGTCCGTTCGTGGCATCTAGACCGAGGAGATGGGCTGCCAGCAGCCACGTTGAAGAAATGGGTCACTGATCTCAGCAAGAACTTCTACGTTCAGGCCAGGGGATGCGAGAGTGCCAGAGTGCTCGGGAGAATCACCGACGTCCATCTTGAAGTGTGCCAAAAATCCCGGCCAGGACGTGACGTGGCCAGACCATGTCCCCGTGTCATTTCCCAGAGGAAGAATAGGCTTACGGCTTAAGCATGTGTTTTTTCGCCGCAAGGCCCATCCAAGATGTTCAAAGACCACAGACTACGACGTTTTAGCATCTTTCGCATGGTAACCTTTTTTGGTTGCCCCGTCTAAGAGCTCATCCGTGTTCGCAGCTCAAGTTCAGCACCCGCGGTCGGGCATGATTTGGACGCGGTCGCAGGGAGCCTGGAGGAAGTGGCAAAAACGCGACCAGTTTGGGAGACAATTTGGCTATATAGTACTTGTAGGAGGTGCATTCACAGGTCGAGGAGAAGCATAGACGAGCGCGTAGGAGCCTTGTCGAGGAGCAAGTCGATAATATAGTAGATTTACTGTATGTCATTTTAGCCATCCACTTGGTGTGACATTCGTCCGTGCAGGATGATGCGAGCTTCATCAATGCGTGGCCGCTCCGACAGGGATTTGGGGGGGCAGAAGGCTTGCGGCCCACAGCTTGGGGACATCTCCGCGGGCCTAGCTGGGCCAATCCACAGATCGATGTGTGCATCGCAGAAAGTACGTACATTTGCGAGAAAAGGTGCTGCTGATAAAGAGGAATATTTTCTCTCCTGTTAGGGGATTCTTTGAGCGGCGGCAGCCATTGTTTCATTGCCAGGGCTGAGCTCCGGGAGAAATGGGAGAAGAGAAATATGCGCAAGCAGTGGCAGAAGAAGCAAAGGGAGCGGCTCTCAGAGGACCTCAAAAGCGTTTTCCATCGCTTTTTCGTGGCTCTGTGGCATGAAACATCCTCCATGCAGTTTGTTGACATGCCTCTCAGTGTCTTTACAAAGACTTCGTGTGGCGATTCTCTAGGCGATTGACTAGGCGATCGACTCTCCATGTGGCCCGTTTCACCGAAGAAGTCGTCAGGAGCCCCACTCCAAGCGCCGTTCCCGCGAGTCGGACGTCGACCCCGAAGAGGCGAGGTCCCGCGGGACTGAGGTATGGTTTACATACATTGGGATGGTTGAATCAGTGGTTGAACAGGGGTTCAATCTAGGATAATCTAGGCATATATTCCATGTATATGGCGTGTTTGGGAGTATAGAACTGCTTTACACTGTGCAGAATCTTCGTGGGATTTGCGTTCGGAAATCCGTGCTTGTTGCCCTAAGCTGCTGATAGCTGCTGATGTGTCTTGTGCTTGGCATCGGGATGGCCAAACTACTGGGATGATCCAGATGAATAGGGGCGGTGAAGTCTGGCAGTTTCTCAACCTTTTCGAGCTGCGGGATCGTGAGGGGTCGACGTCATGGATCGACCCGATCTTCGATTCGCATTCGACCCGATCTTCGATTCGTGACGCTTTTGGATCTTCGATTCGTGCCACCTGACCCACAAGGGGCTGATTTAGGAGGCCCACTCCCATGGCCTCTTTGTCGCCAGACAATGTGACGTTTGGCTGCTCAATGCCACCTGGAAGCCCAAGCAGCATCAAACAGCCAGAAACCAGACAAGCGGCAAATTCTCAGAATACGCAGAGCCAGGGGCAGCAAAGAGTGCACCAGGTGGCCTTTTGCACTGAGATCCTTGCATAAGGTTAGGAAAGCCCAGCTCCAATTACGTCCTCAGATGGTAGGTAAACCCACCCTTACGGGAAGGGTTGCATGATGGTGAACCCTTTGCTGTCTCAAGGGCCTTACCTATACATCATATATCAATGCAGTTACAATGACCTCTAAGGCCTATGGACCCTCAGGCCATACGGCAGGAGTTACTTCTCAGTCCGATCTTGAGATGATTTGAGATGCGTAGCCACGTAGCATTCAATCATATTCAATCTGGATGACTTGCGTAGTAGCTGCGTATGGCAGGAGTTTTTTTTGGGTGGGTTGTATCTATAGGCTAGAGGATAACCTCTCAATAGTATGCAATCCAAGAGTTCATCCTGGGAACCTTCTCGCTTCTGGCTATGGACTAACACCCGTGGCGCTGCACGGAGTTTGGACGCAAGCCGTGGCACGTCAGGTTCTAAGCTGCCTGGACGCTGCGCGTGAGGATTTGGCACAAGGCTCGTGGCTAAGTGCACCAGCTCGTGAATGTCGAGTTGCAACTGTATGTACACTGGGGGAAGCCCAGTGTGGAACATGCATTTGCACGGGAGAAAGCAATGCTTCAGAGTCAACATCATCATATACTTCCTTGGTCCAACCTTTTTCATTTGCAGTTGCTTTTCCAGTCCAACCTCCCACCCCTCGCCCGTGGAACGGAAGTCTCCACCCCCACCAAACGCTCGCAACGTCTACTCTGCCGCGCAGGTCGCAGCGATTCCTTCGAAAGGGCCACCGGGATGATGAGTTGGGGGGGGGCATTTGGCTGGGAACATGAACCTGGATGTGTCCGAGCAGACCGATCAGACCTATTTGGAGCCTAGAAGAAGAAGCCATGGAAGGAAGGAGAAGCCGTGAAAGAGAACCGTGCGGTGATGACTGTGCAGTCCGAAGTGCAAGTTGCTGTCTTCCATGGTCGCTCAAGAATGATCAAGAATGCACATAAACAAATTTAGGAGTAGTATAGCCACGGCATTCAGAATTTCATGGTAAGGTGATAGTCATCCCAGAGATTGATGGATAACGGCACAACCTGAATTCTGTCCTAGTCCTATTGGTTTTGGATTGCTTGGGCTTACCCCACATGTGTTCTGGCAGCTTCATGAGTTCTCCCCCGTCAGCCTGTTATCCCACCCCACCCCACTGCCATGCAAACGAAGAGTAAGTTGGAGCCCAAACTAAGCACAAGCATCCCTTTGTCAACATATCAACTTATTATTCATCATCGTGTTTGCATATACATTTCCAGC